TGTTGGATTAGATTGTCCCAGATCCATTTCCATTCCAGCAAGGAATCAGATCGGGCCATTAATATCTGTGGGGTCATCTAATTGCAGACTTGATCACTTCTGATTCCCAACTGGATATGGAACATATGAATTTACAGCCTTTGGTTGGGCCATGATGAAGCAAAGATGAGTGATTATTTACTTATTAGTTGATTGCACCTCATTTATAAACTTCTGTTTTGTGACAGGTATGGGGAGGAAATCCTGCAAGGTTCCTGAGGAAACTAACTGAAGAAGAGGTGGCTTTTATTTCTCAGTCTGCTACCAACTATACCAACTTGGCTCAGGTGCACGCTGTGGAGAATGCCAAGTCTTTCGATGAGATCGAGTTCGAGAAAGTACTGCACAAGAAGTTTGCTCGCAGGGATGAGGAGTATGATTCGATGCTTGGAGTGGTCCGCGAAGTTCCTCCTGAGCTGATTCTTCCTGACAACGTCTTGCCAGACAAATCTCCCAAGCCTTCACACTAGGATAGGATTATTAGGCTGAGACAGTCAAGTTTGGTGGTTTATGTTTTCTTATGCCATCCAATAATTTCAGGTTGGGCTCTTCTGTAGGGTCGACCACCTCACTCTCGGTACTCTGTTCATCTTTTGTCCCATTTTTAATTATAATCCTAAATTGCTTCCAGAGGATGTGAATGAGAAACATGCTTTTGCTGATTCTATAACAGAATGTTCAACTCAATAAAGAGATTAAAGTGAAATGCTGGTCACCATTAGTCAATCTATGTTATAGAAACCAGTGAAGGTAAATGTTGATGTCTATGGATTTATTTGTTAAGAGGGAGGGGTCATGTAGATGGTGTATTGTTATCCGAAGATTCCACAAGAGATTTTTCTTCCAACTACCTCAAAGTAATGTGTGTTTTGGGCTCATAGGAGATCGAAAACGTGTTTATGGCGATTAGGGTGACATATTTTGGTCAATCTTATCAGCCTCCAAAGGTGGGAGATGGGAGACGCTTTCGGAGAGTGGACGCTCTTATGGAGCTATTGGAAAGTGATTTGTCAGCTCTGCAGTCAACAGAACTTTAATATTTATCAGTGCAGCAACTACGTGTGCTTTCCAAGTTTATCGGATCAAAGAGAGGCACGTGTCATTGATGAAATCAACGGCACTTTGGCTCAAGTCACATCGTGTACGATTTTTTCTTCTTTTAACATCGTAGTCATATACTTTTAAACGTTATATTGAGGTTTTCAAACAGAATCCGTTGTTCGTCACATCATCATCAAGACACCAAACCAAATGATAAAATAATTATTTCATACATTAAAACATTGGTTCACCATAGAGGGATCGATGATTATGATGAAACTCGAGTTCCGATGATTGACAAGTGTAAGTGGTCATGGTGGACCAATCGCTATCAGAGCGCGTGAGCGTTGGTGGAGGGCACCCGACGACGACGATAGGACTCAATGGTTGAATGTAGATGGAAAGGAGGACTGATGATCTCATTAAAAAGGCTATCGTCGCAATTGGGATAAACAATGACATTTTAAGGCCACACTCGGTCGGAGGAACATCAGTAGCACTAGTATGATGATATCGTCACCATGTAAGAAGGCATCGAAGAAACCTAACATGAACACACACAAAAGCATTACCTTTCTCTCAGTAAATAAAAAGAAATTTAAACCAAAGACCTCGAAAATAAAATCTTTCAAATGAATCAAACGATTCAAATGTGACATCCAACTCAAACCCCTTGAAAATTCTCAAAATCAAATGTAAAATATACCAAATTTCTCCATCGGTTTGTGATCAAATCCCTTGATTACGAAGGCGAAAGCCAATAATAGGGTGGAGACGAAGTGGAATGAGGATAGGACATTCTCTCCGTTGTGAGAGTGGTAGGTGTGGAGGAGGGGAGAGGAGGGGTTGGGAGGGGTGGTAGGGAGGGAAGGCTAAGGCACGGAGGAAAGGTGGGTAGACGAAGCTAGCACGACATGGGGGTGTCATGTAGGGGTATAGTGAAAGCTAGTAAAATGAAATAATCATTTTACTCTTTAGTTTAGCATTAATTCGATAATGGAATTCAGGTATAGTGAATTCCATTAAATAAATAGATGATGATATTAAAAATAAAGTTAAACATAATAATTTACTAATTATGAGAATCTCAATATAATTTTTTAAAGTATAAGAACTACGATACTAAACGGTTCAAGTATAAGACCAACATGTAGGTAGCTCAATTTTTCTTGATGATGCCTTATATTTTTAAAAATTTTATATAATATTTTTTAAAAAAATATTTAAATTTTAAAAATATTTATATTTTTCATCAATACCTAGTCAACCAAATAAAATTAGATCGAATATAGTATTTTAGTTCATCAAATCAATTATAATACTTATAAAATAGAGTTATATTATTTTTCATCGGAAGTAAAAATATTATAATTTATTTATTTTTATATTATTCTTTCACAAGAGAACGAAAATATATATTATAAGTTTTTTCAGTTTATATAAACATAAGCTTAAGGCTAATTGAGAAAAAAAGAAAAATATTATTATTCTTTATTTTTGAAATATATGAAATATTTTTAATTTTTATCGAAACAACTAACAGTCTCATATAAATTACTTTATGAAATCTTAAAACTTATAGTAGAGTTAATAATTATGATTTATGAGACTCTTTGCGGGGTATCATCTTTTAACAAAATCTCAAAACGGGGGAAATCGTCACTCGTCTTATGAAAAAATAATTAATTAATTTTTAATAAAAAAACTCAACTGGCACAATTATGCTTGATGGAATTGATCCATTCACTAGAAACCTAATTTAATAATACGATATACATTTTAAGCTAAATTTCTAATTTGCTATTAAATTTTATTATTATATTAAAAATATGCAAAATTTATATTTGTAATTCAAATTTTCACTATTTCTAATTTATTATTAAATTGTATTGTCACTCACATCATCCTCCTAGTCAAATCCTAGTCAGAATCAAATCATAGTCCATCTTACTCTCACTTTTAATCTAAACCATCCAACTATCCAGGAAAAATATGCATAAAAATATGTATGTATATACATGTACATGTATATACATACATATACATACATACATACATACATATACATGTATATACATATAT